ATCTTGCTTCAAAAATCATCTTTTTCTGCCGGACACAGGCCAGAGCAGGTTTTGAGCTTTTCTAAAGACAAACTCGTTCAGGACATTGCAAAATTATTCCAAAGTATTCTTTAATTATTGAACGACAAAGGATGTGAAAGTACGAGATAAGAATTCATTTCAAAAAGGTGTTTAATGAGAGATTTTCAGTGAGAAAAAAAAGAAAAGGATCACTCTGGCTCTTCAAAGTCACAAAAATAAACATTTGTAACAAAGGCAATCTTTCCCGCGCCTTTACGCAAACAGCGGATCTTTTCACTCAGATATTTTATTTTTGAGCGCTCAAGTTAACGTTAGCTTTGGTCTAGAAATCAGATCCGAAAGAAGGTATTACGGCACATGAGTTTTCGAACTCTTTACATAATATGGTGGGGTATGTTCTGTACAATCCAAATCTGCTGTCACATGACTAACTGTGCGCTAAGCCATTGTTCACTTTAACAGCAATTGAATTTCGCGCTCAAGTGAGAGAGAGTCATGAAGTGTTTGTCACGTGCCAAACTTAAACCAAACTTAAACTTAAACTTAAAGGCTCGGCAAATCCTCGACCTGAAGTTTTCGCCTACCTGGGCTAATTCGACGCGCTAATTTCAAAAATACACTTTGAGGAGCAGGAAAATGTCTAAAACCAGCGTTTCCAAGGTTTCCCATTTTGAATTTGAACGAGTGGACCACTCCCCGCCATGGTTAGAGACGTTGTTGGACTATTAGGTTTAAAGCATTGCGGCATGCCGCCTCTAGCGGTGGGAAGGGGACCGAAGCTCGTACGAGCGCGTGTGAGAATGGCTTCCGCGCAGGGCTTTACAGGCATTTTTTTAGGCCGAGGCAGCATGTAGTGCGCTCGAATCTGCTCTGTTCTGATGTTTGGCATGCAAGCAACCTTCCATATCAAAATTTAGATATGTTTGGTTTTGCCGAGCTACTGCCTTTAATAGCGAATCGGGCGAGCATGTCTGGATATGTCCAAATCGCCTTTTGCTATTTGCCCCAAAATAAGTCTAGTTCGAATTTTATCTGTGCTAGGCTTTGCCATGGCCCCGTCTGCATGAAACCTTAGGGCCGCATGAACATCCCCGCTGAAAGGAATAGCGTCAAAGAAAACTTTATATCTCGAAAGTCCAGATATCTGGATTTAATGCTGTCTAGCTGTCCGTCAGTACATCTACTACCTTTCATTATAAACTATTGAGTACGCGAGTTGTACAAGCAGCATTTTCCATCTTTTTGTATGATCCTATAATGATCCCCGGCGGCCGACCGTTTTTTCTTCGGAGTCATTTTTCTTTCTTCAGAGATGGAAAAAGTTTAAACTTTACTGATTGTCTAGCGTAAAAAAACGTACGGAATTACCTGAAAGCTCTTTAAATGTTTTCTGTAAGAACAAAACAGTCTAATTAGATTGGAACATCTTGATTGCCTTTAACAATGTTTCGAAAATGTCTTTCTCTTCAAACTCTTTTCGCCATATGATTTTAGCTAGGAACGACCACAAATAATGGCTCAAAGTACCTGCCGCTGTTTGTTTCGTCAGTTAGATAATGAAAGTCTAGCCCACTTCTCTATTCTGTGTAAGTTTAGTCCAAACATTGATAAGAGAATGACGTTATCATTACAACAATGTTCATTTTGGTAGTTCAACCGAAAATGGGATCACTAATTAAAAAGTAGAGTGAACTACATACGTTGCTAGGTGGCAACACAAATCTTGGTAAAACCTGTTAAAGGCACCGTCTACTCTAAACTGAGGGTCCTGAGCTTTTGGCAGCATAATAGTAGGGCCCCCTATAAAACCAATCCCTACGCGGCGCAAAATATCGCTTCGGAAGCGGGAAAATCGCTCCGGAATAACGAAGATGCACGAGGACCCCCAGACGGCACCGCCCTCCCCATCCATGTCCGCCCACCCGTGCGCGCCCAGCTAATCATCGTTCGGGAAAGCCGGCCTGCGGGTTCCCCCACACGGGGATTGCTGGGATTTTCGCGGATTTTCGACTTCATTTCGGAATCAGCGACATGAGGAGGCCTCGGAACGATCAAAATATGAAAGTCAAGGATCTAGGTGGACGGTGCTTTCAAACATGTGAATAACATGTTAAATTGTTTTTACATATAGCAAAAGATTGATGTCTTCCTTGAATTTGTGAGCAAATGTGGTACAAGAAAATGCAGATATATCCTTCTATGGAAAAATGGGTCCGGATAACGGGATGTGCCCCAAATCATGGCAGAACGAACGTTTAGCGAGGCACAACGAGCGTCTGAGCCGCTCGCATCAGAAAACGAAAAAGGCGCGTCTTGTACTCGTTAATATAGGATAGTTTATATAGTTGTTCTTTCCCAACCAAGACTCTATTTTCCTTTAGACTGATGCATGAATGCGTGTTTACATATAGGGTATTCGAAAAATCGTGACGATGGCGCGACTGCGCGCCACACACGCACAATTCCAGCAACCGCATTTTTTTGGTTTTCAACCCTACTCAAGTACTTTTTCCGCTTACCTATGGTAGTATTTGGACAATGGGACTGAGCTAAGCATTGAGGTAATGCCTTTTTGTAGAAGTGTTTTGTACTCTTGTGGGCGCAAAAATCGCATTCAATCCATCGTCACAGTTTTATAAATGGCCTGTACTGAATGTGCGTATAGAGTCCAAAACACTTCTATTGTTAGTTTCACTTGGCTTTAGAATAACAAGGATCCATCACCTTGAAATGTGATTTCAAAGGCGCCATTAGATTCTCGTCTTCCATGTTTTGGTCTCTCCGCGGCCTTCTCATGTTCCTGATTCCGAATATGAAGTCGAGAATTTGCGAAAATTGCAAGAATCCCTATTCTGGAAAACCCGCCGTCGGTGATCGATTGGGCACGCCGGACGAGCGGGCTTGCTGGAGTGGGGGGGGGGGGGGCTGCACGTCAGGAGGTACGCCGCGCACAATTGGGGCCTCCAGAATTCCCGCCAATAGAGATTCCGGCGGCAAAAACAGGGGGTGAGAGTGGGGGCAGATACATGACTTGATGCTATAAGTAAGACTGCGCCAGAAGTGCTGCTGTTGTAAGGGCTGAAGTACGTTGCGGCGTCGCGCGAAAAATTCGCGTCGATCGTACCTCCTGACTTCCCCCGGGGGGGGGGGGGAGGAAAGGGAGCCGACTTGCGTTCTCATGTTTCTTCGCTATTCCGGAGCAATTTTCTCGCTTCCAAAGCGACATTTTGAGCCGCGACTTGGGCAGTAGTTAGTGGAGGTCCTAGTATCGGAAGCTGCCAAAGCTCAAGACCCCTAACTTAGGGGGGGGGGGACAGTGCCTCTAAACGCAAATAGGAATCTTCTTTCAAAAATAATGATATACCTATTCTTTCGCTGTTCTTCACTATAATGTCCCACTCTTAGCATCTATTTATAACATAGAAATTATTTATCATCGCGTTTTCGATGCGGATAGCTAATCTTTAGTAGCACAGGCGCAGTTTTCAAACATGCTAAATCCTATCAAGTTTTGCTGTTCTGTAGAATCGTTGAAATGATGTAAACAAGTTTTGAGCACTACAGACGAGAGTGTTTTTGCTGTGTACCTAACGACTTTTGAACGAGCTTCGTTGGCAGAAAAGATGTTTTCGGCCATTAGCTGACTGACTTCACGGTGTATGCAGTTTTCAGCTTTTCTTGCAGCTTCCAGGGAAACTTGCTTCCAGATAACAAAGTTTCTCAAGATTAGCGGCGGGCAGATATGAAAACGTAGAGCGCGATGGCGTCCATCGTGATGAAGCTCTTGCCTGATAGAATTGCACCAATTTGCTTTTAGAGCGAGGAAACCGCATCAGATGTGGCGACATTCACGCCCCGGCGCTCTTACCAGAAAACAAACGACATCAAAGGACAGCCATAGAGCGCCTCACAGCTGGTATTCCCACACATAAAGTATCAAAACATAATGACTTATTTAACCCCAACCGACTTCATGGCCTGGTCTATCGGATTCCCACTGTGGCGCCGTGCCACTTTAGCACCGGAGAGTTTTTGTGAGGCACAGAATTTGGGCGCGGCGCGCTGTGTGACAACACCGCGCGCCATGCCCAAATTTGTGTCCCTGCCCCAGTGCCCCTTGCAAGTGAGTACGACGTTAGCTTATATGTGATTGAGGTAAAAGGTAAAATTAGAAGAATTAGTGTAGAGATACCTCATTGCTTAGGGAGAGGTCGTTGAGCAGAGACTTTTTTGATGGAAGAAAGCGTTAAGTCTTCTCAGTTGATACATTATCCGAACGCTCAGAGCAGAAATGATGGAGACCTTTCCCCAAGTTTTCCCGGAAATCGAGAATGAGTCTTTGTCTAGCCACAATATCAGCTGCTAATTTCTGACCAATTCGCGTAAGGTTTCGAGGTAGAAAGGAATGCAGAAAAGGGACAGTCTACAATTACTGCTTAATTTTGCTCTGTTCTGCAGTCGGCAATTGTGCTATATTTCATTCATTGCATAAAGAAGAATATTCGCTTTTCCTAATGAAAGCGCCCATACTATTGGCTTGCTCTACTGCCCTCAATAGCTTAGCTATGATTTTGCCGGCCCTGAAATCCACAAGCAGAAGCCATATATAGGGGCCTGCAGGTTCGCGAGAGTCAGGCGTGCGTACGGCCATTGAGCCGCGCACGTCCGATGTCACTAAGACAGGTACCAGACTTATCCCTCTCAGCCGGTTTGTTCGGTCCATAGGTCAAATCACCACACTGTCCAACAGCAAAGATGGTGAACCGAATAAACCTGTTCAACAGGATAGGTCTGGCACCTACCTGAGTCTTCGGACGCACATCTGAAGTGCGCGGCGCAATGGCCGTACGCACTTCCGACTCTCGCGATCTGCAGGCCCCTATAGCACACAGTCAAGGCGTAGGATCTCACAGCAATCCTGTCGTAACATTGCCGGCGCGCCTCCAAATTGACAATTGACAAATTGACAAACGTCCAGAATGACAGTTCTTACGCAGGATTATAAGAAGAGAAGAAATGCCACCGTCACAACACTGGGACTCACGCTCACGCATTTGGAGAGATCAGATTCGGGAATATACTATCCAGGATATTTTGATGAGGTAAGTGCGGTACATCTCCTACTTTAATTAACTAATTAATCCTACCCCTACTTTAATTCAAAGCTTTTCCCCCATTTGCGCTACAGCTTACCTTGGCGCCTAGCGCTCACGCTGAAAGTGCAATAATTTGAACAGATAGGATTCTCGCAGCTTTCCTAATACCTTATTTTTCCGCAGGATCATTCCGCGAAAGTTATGAGCTATTCTGACTGTGTGTGAGCCTCATCGTATGAGGGCTAATGTGATGTTTGACTTTCTTCAAATGTAATTCTTTGCATGGAGAAGAACAGTTGGCAGCTGTCAAATATCACTTGACCTGAATACGATCATTTAGCATTAATGTTTAGGCGATTTCTTTTTGGTTAATGTACCATGTAAAAAATTACGTTGGAAAATTTGATTATGAAGTTTCCTATTAGATCGAAACAATCATTATGGAAAAAAGTTTGACATTATATAGAGAATTTCTTTATTTCCTCATTCACCATATAGCTTTCTGTCCATCCAATAAATTTGCTGATTCTAAGATGTCCAATTTGATAGGAAGTATAGTTTGACTTCTGCAAGGAGAAGAGAAACAAAACGACACTGCTCAGGTTACAGCTCATTTGTAAAGCATAAACATGCGTAAATATAAATATATTTATCTGTTTCGAAAGCACAGGACAAAGCGTGTTCAAATACATTCTTGTTGTTCCAGCTCTCAAGGGGATTTACAGAACTTTTTTCCTGTCCTATAAACCTGTAAACCTTCAATCCCCTGCATCCCCTTTCGTCAAGAACATCAAACGGATTAATATAGACTACAATATACAGGATGTCCGAAAAAGTATGCACACTGTTTGATCTTTGATATCGCTTGCATCGATGTCTTTTGCTGATTTTGAGTACCATTCTGTAAAGTTGCTTAAACTTGGTCCGATCCCTTTTCGCTACTATGAAATTACGGTATGAACCCTCAGCATATAGCGCCATTGTAATCAGACTATTTAACGAAGGAATTTTAGAAAAGCGTGAAAAACTGTGTAGTAGGAGGTTTCCAAGCATGTTGATTTTACTGCGCAACTTGTTATCTACAAGGTTTGTGAACATTATAAGAGCAGTTGTTGCAGTATTCTCTCAAAACGACTTATGAAGAAAGCTCAGTTTTGGTGTGTAAGTTTCAAATCTACATCAGCGACTCCAAATGATCTAGTCTAAGTGTTTTTGGCTTGCTCGGCTTTTTTTCTATGGCGGATTGCGACTACGGCTAACCCAGTCAAAATTTCTACCGTAATCCTACAATAACGAATGATCGGGTCGCTCCATATTGCAAGTGAGTTAAACTCAGCTCTACAGAATGGTATCTGGAAGCCAACAAAAGACGTTGAAGCAGGGTAGTTATTTAAGATCAAACAGTATGTACACACTTTTTTTGGACATCATGCATATCCTGGAAGCAGAGGATAAGGCGGTCCCGGTGATGTTTCTTAACACTTTCGCCTTTGTTAATCTACAGGAAGTTATGAGTAAATCTTATTTGGCACGTGATTTGGGCACATGCTTCTAAAACGTTTCCTTCGATGGTCAAAAAGTTGCGAAATAGGGTGCCGTTCTGTACAGTAAAATTTTTCGATTTTGGAACAGAACAATAGCAAAACTCGTGAGATAGGCGCCTATGCTGAATACGGCTAGCTAGTACATACCTTTGATGCAACAGCATTGGCGGGTGGATGGCCCCTCTCTCGCATTCGCGACGCCGTCTGTGTCTCTCGCCAGCGCGTTCTTTAATCATTCCCTAGCCTTGATTAGACCTTGAAACTCCGCCTTCCAGCCAATCGCGTTGGGTATGCAGATGTTGATGACAATTACAACGAAAAATGATGCTGATTATATATTGCTTCTCACTATTTACATTACATAGTAATATTATCTCACAATCTTCCACTTTTCAAGCTTCAAATTCGTATTGGGTTGGCACGTAAGTTTTGCAACTTGTTCCATGACTTTTCTGACCTCAGATGGATCTCTTCCTTCCGTAGATGGTGTGCTACAAATTTGAGCAAACGTCTTGTTTCTGGTGGCAGAATGGCGAACTTTGCTCATTTTTCTCTGGTCAAATCAGAATGATCGTGTCGAGAACAAATAATGAAACCGTTCTTAGCCTGCATTATACGTAGTAAGTGAAACTGTACAGGGATGGTTGCTACATAAACTTTAACAATCTGTGTACAGTCTCGGTTTGCTTGATGCCGGCTGAGAACGACTCAATTTTTCTAACCAGGCATCTTTGACTTAAGCAGCTTCCGAAAAATGCGCAGAATATCCGCACTACATTTCCAAAAACAAAACGGTAGGCGCAAATCTGTAGCTCACTATCTAGTCCACATTACGCCAAAAAAAATGGGAGCGTTATATCCAAGAAGGGAAACATAATGGACTAAGTTGCAACTTATGTGACCTATCATTTGTTTATTGATTCAGTTGCGATTTAACAGCATTCTTTTCAGGGTAGGAATCAGTTCACCCCAACAACGTACAATTTCTCGATTCGCTTGAATGTAACAAGAAAAGCAATAGATTACTGGAAGGACTGCCGGGGCAGCAATGCCTCACACTGCCTTCCTGGACCCAAAAACCTCACTGTTGGAGGCCAAGAATTGTCGTCCTCCGCTTCTGGAGGCAATTGACCATCCTTTTCGCTACATCCATTTCAGTTGATCGAAGCACACTTTGTTATATGTTACCTTGCTTTGGCCTTAGTTTTTTTTTGTTCCCGATAGCCTTTGAGAGTTCATTATTTTTATGTAATCTTATCATAGTTTTAGTGTTTTGAATAAAAATGGGGAGATTCTTCGTTTTACTTTGGCAAGAGAATATCAATTAATGTGGTTGTATCGGTATTGTGTTTTTTTTTGTAAAAATTCAGAGTTTAGATTAAAGAATTCAAGCACATGCTGGTGTTTTCATGCTGGAGCAACACGATGCTACTCAAAACAAAGGATTAGCTTCTTTGTGATAATTGTAACTTCCGTGGGATCCATTTCGCAACTCTTCCACGATGAAATTATCTTCTTCACAGCCTGGAGAGCTTTAAATAGTTATCCTCAGCGTGAAAGGCTCCAGACTCCGACTAAAGTTTGGGCCGCATTACTCTTATTTTTGGACTTAACCGGCGCCGGCTGCTCACACTTGCTGGACATGCCGGTGAAAATATTTTTGCCGGTTTAAATTGAAGTTATGGTTGTTGTAACTGCTAGGAAAATGTATTCTACCGCGATAGTTTTCCAAAAATTTGCAAAGATTCTTAGTGAACAACAATGAGTAGAGTTTTTTGGATTTTGGAGTACAAAAGAGGCACTTCTGTCATGCATGTTTTGAAGGATCCCATAGTTTTGATGACAATCTGATCGTGATGCTATTTTATATGCAGGGTGTCCCAAAAAAATGTATCAAACGTTTAATCTTCAATAACTTCTCTATATGAGAAGCATTCGCTAATCTTTGAGTGTTATACGGTAGAGCTGGGTTCAACTTAGATTTACAGTAGAGAGCGAATCACCGATTTCTCTTAATTACTGTAGAATTACGGGATTTTTTGATTAATTTTAAGCTTCTGACAGCCGAGAACTGCTTCTAAAAAATTCCAAAAAAAAACCGAAGGCGTTAAACTGAGGTTATTGGGGATGCTGAAATTAATTAAAAAGTTTTCCGCTACCGTACTCCTTATCTTCTTACGATATGCGCACTGTAATGCTAATTGGCTTTTTGTAGCTTGTTCGTAACTGCAACGCTGATTTAGCAAATTTTGGAAAGAATGCCAAAAATTTAGCGTTACAGTGCGCATACTTAGGAAGATGGGGAGTACGGTGGCGGAAAACTTTCAATTAGATTCAGCATCCGCGAAAACCTCAGTTTAACGTCCTTCGGTTTTTTGGAATTTTTTTGAAGCAGTTCTCGCCTGTCAAAAGCTTAAAATTAGTCAAAAATTCCCACCGTAATCCTACAGTAACTAATGGCAGTCGATGGTTCGCTCTATACTGTGAGCCTGAGTTTATTTATTTATTTATTTAATACATTGCTATAGTGTAATGTGCTAGATAGTATTAGGTTGCTGCATAAGTTCTGTCCGATTCGGATTTTTTGAGTTCAAAATATCATAACTTCTTTCAAAGTCAATTATTTTCCGAGATCTTAGATTCTTTGTGTTGAGCAGTTCCATCGCTATCAGACGCATATTATTTGCGCAAGTCCTTGTTAAGGAAGAAGCAAGAATGCAAAAACTCTACAGGGTTTTTCTTCAAATCTGTCTTTTTTGACATGGCGACGCTCCCGTATGAGAATTGATAAACATCTCATCTAAAAATGGATAGATAGAGAAATTTTCGTAAATTATTATGCAACATAAAAGAGCCCATAAGTCTGTGCTACCGAGAGATTTTTTCAACCAAGCAAAAAAAGGAGCCACCTTTTGACCTCGCTTCAGCACATGTGTGCATGCCTATTTACGAATTATGAAAATTTTACAGCTGGCTTGAGCACCGAAAAGGAACTGGTGGATGGGCCCTGCTAGCTCTTGCTTTGCCATAGCACCTCCAACTTTGAGCTTATCGGTTACTTCTATTCGCAGAAAGTTATTGCTTGTGAAACACCTATTAAAAAAATTAATTCGGCGATAAGTTTTACTAGCAAGACGTTTTCGTCATGGAACCGAACTTCTGCATATACTAACCTTCTACACCCTTATTCCGCGGCCAATTGAAGAACTTGACTTGAAGGTCGCATGATAGAGATCTCCTTGCAAGAAAACATATTTCTAGGGTGAAACGTATCTCGCCCTCTTAGAGATTTTAGGCCTGAAATCTCCGTACACTGAGAAATTTACTGAATTCTGATGCGCTTTAAAAAGCGCAGGGAAAGCACTTTCTAATGATACTAGCAATACTGCATTAGAGTTGAAATTCTCTTAGAACAGCTGCTTCAAACATGAGGCAAAAAAATCAGACAGAACTTAGCAGCAACCTAATATAATCGCTAATATAGAAATGATGCATAACACGTACGAAGAAATATGTACATACCAGTGGCGTACCGAGGGGGGGGGGGCGGGGGGGGGGGGCGCGAAAGCTACTTATATGGGTTAAAAAATGTGCAAGTGACTTGTTTATTTTTGTAAATAATTGAAATATTTTTTAAAAATTTTTAAAAATTCAAATTAGCCTTGTAAAAAAAATTTTTTTTGGGGGCGTGGCGTCAGCCACGCCCCCTTTTCCGGATCTTCGGGGTTGGGGACCCGCAATATTTTTGAGAAGCACCCCTAAAATTTTTTCGGAGTGCGTGGCTAACGCCACGCACCTTCATTCGAAAAAAATCTTTGTCCCCCCCCCCCGAGCGGAAATCCTGGGTACGCCACTGGTACATACGATTTGCTTTCATTTTCACATCGCTAAATCTTCTGCTTAAGAACCATAAACAAGGTTAAGAGGTTTCAGTTGTAGTAAATCAATTCGAAAAGGTGGTACGTTAGCATGCTTTGTACTTTGCTTTGCTTTGCTTTGCTTCTGTTAGTAAACTACTTTTGAGTTGAAGCCCTCTTTACCGTACGACACTCAAAGATCCGCGAAAACTTTTCACATAGGGAAGCTACTGAAGATCAAACGTTCGATACATTTTCTTGGGACACCCTGTATAAAGCTGAATGTCTGTTTGTATGTCTGTATGTCTGTATCTCTGTATGCTGTATGTACGTATGTTCCGAATAGAAAATTCCATTTCTGAACCGATCCGGACCAAACTTTGCACGCATCACTTCGGGGCCGGGCGGGTGTCATAGGCTACTTTGTTATCGATCGATATCGATTTTATCAATTTTTATAGATTTTTTTTGCAGAATTCACCTACGGGGCTGGGAGTTGGCAAAGGGGGGTAATTAGGCATGCTGATTACGAGTACAATAGTAGTTTTTGGAATTATCCGCTACTTTTATCGATTTTATCGATTATTTTGCAACGTTTGAGCTACGGGGCTGGGATTTGGCACTCGGGGATGATCGAGCATGCCGATTACGAGTACAGTATCAGTTTGGCGCTATTCGGCTATCCGGGCCCCAAATATTTTTTGTCGTAGAGCTTGCTCAAACTTCGTGTCTAAGGGCTATCTTAAATGCTGATTACAGATATCACACTTTCTCCGCAGAACGTCTGTGTAGGTGACAGGTGTACGGTAGAAACTCAAAATCATGAATTTGGCTGGAGTTCGGTCCAGAGTGCTTATTCGACATGCTGATTACGAATTTCATACTTTCTCTGCATATTGGGGTCTTATCATAGAGTTATGGTGGTTGTACTGTATGGGATATGGCGGTTGTACTGTATGGGATCGAATAGATTTGCTTCAAACTTCGTCTAGGGTGGTCGTTTAGCACGCTGAACATGAATATTATGCCGATTTCGCAGGATAGCGCATTTTCTTGGGTTACGGTGGGTGTACAGTATACTTTGGAGTATTCGAGAATTTTCGAGTAATCGAATTTCGAATATTTTCAAAAACAAAAAATGTGGAATATCCGAGTACAGTATGCTTTGGAATATTCGAGAATTTTCGAGTAATCGAATTTCGAATATTTTCAAAAACAAAAAATGTGGAATATTCGAATATCGAGTATTTTCAAAAAACAAAAATGTCGAATAATCGCATATCGAATATTTTCGAAATAAGAAACTCGTCGAATAATCAAATATTGAATCTATTCGAATTGAGAAAAATCCGAATAGTCGAATATCTTTGAGAAAAAAATCCGAATAAGCGATTATTCTGCATCGATTATGTCGAACATTGAAACAAATTTTGATCGAATTAGCGCAATGAAGGACTCCATGCAGTGAGCAACTTGGACAACAAACGATGGTTGCTGATATAGCAGTCAAAATTATGACGCTGTCATGTAGTTATTCGATTACACGAAATTGTCGAACAAACGAATAACTTTTGAAATAAATATTCGAATGCTCGAATATTTTCGAAAATCAAAATTTTCGAATAACCGAATAATCAAATAAATTCGAAATTGGCAAATTTCGAATAAGCGAATATCGAACTTATTCGAGATTTTTAAATTTTCAAATAATCGAATTTCGAATAAAATTTATTCGAATACTTTAGAATACTCGAATATTTATTCGATTCGGTCCAAAGTATAGTGTACAGTAGATGGGTCGAAGTTCCAGATTTGCTCAAAACCTTACCTAGAACGGTTCACAAGCATACTACTTATGAATATGATGCTTGCTGACTATCATAACGCATTATTGTGCAGTTATGGTGAGTTGCAGGGTTTGAATGGACATTTTCTTGCTTTCGGGCCAATTTAGATCCCAGATATTCACAAAATGGGGGAACGGTCGTTTTGCATGGCGGTCTCCAGCGCCATCCTGATAACCTCTCCCAACGCCTAACGCACGCAGCAAATGTCCCTCCCCTGTTTTTGCTTAGGCAAAAGCCGCCGGAGGGTGTATCGCGTGCGGCAGTGGTCCTATAATTAAAGCTTTACGGTTGTGAGAAACTCTTATACCACACGAATTGCCTTTATCGTGGGGACTAAGCACGATATTCTTGAAGCAGCACTTTAGGTAATTTCCTGCCAAGGTTTCAGGCACGTTCATGATTTTTACCCGCTGCCACGCGAGATAAC